TTAATAACTTTAGGAGATTCAAAAATCATCCATCAATGTGATTACTATTGATTAGATTTTTCTCATATTTTTTGTTATCAACCATTAACAAAATGCCAATATATACCCATCACAACAGCTTCCCTTCTTAATATCAAGATAACGGAAAGTCACATAAGGTTACATTATTGCATCACATGCATTTGGTGTCGCAGCTACACACCTGAGGATCCACATCTGGATTGATACGAAGAAGTGCATTAACCTTCTTCCCAGCAATCCTTGCAGCAGCTACAATATTATCCAAATCAAATTCACTATCAATATTAACAAAGACCCCTTCTTGGGCAGCCAGCACTAGATCCTCCAAGGTCTTTCCATTTCCATTAAAGATACACACAGGTTTATGTATGAAGTTAAAAGGAATAGAGTATTGAGCTCTCACTTGTCGGATCACACTTAAAGCTATAATGAAATACCAAATTGCAGAAGTTATTAAGTTTCATATAGAATATTTACAAATTCCTATAAAACAATAGAGTATTTATTGAAAGAAAAAGGTCAACAGTTCATATTAGTTTATTGGATATGACTTTAAAAAAAGGAATTCAATTTTGTTCTCTCTTCATAGCAGATTAAAACCAAACACAATACAAACATACCTGGTGGGATTGAACCCGGCACAAAGGGCCAATTTAAGCTCGTTACCACTGACCAACACAGCGCCACAACCCAACTTCCTCAAATGCTCTAAAATCTTGAGATTATTATTAGCTTTAATCGCATACGCGATTATCGAATTCAAGCCCTCCAAAGCCTCTCCATAAGCCTCAAAGTTTCTTGTGATTTGAGACTTACTGTACAGATAAAATGGACTTCTTTCAACAATTTTCATGACATCTTGAACCTTAAGGCCTTCACAGCACAAATACCCATCTTCAGATTTGGTGAAACAATGCTGAAAGTTCTGGATTTGTGCGTCTGAAGTTGAGGTTTTTGTAGGGTTTTGGTACAGTATAGCCCTGAGGTTTATTGTTCTTGGGCTGGGTTTGATGAGCATGCCATGATTTTGAGAAAGGAGCGAACAAATACAGACAAATGGGTTTGAAGGGTGTTTCAGTGATTTTGAGAAAGGAGTAGAATGAGAGGGAAGATGAGAAGCAGCCATTGGGAAAGCAAACATGACAGCTGGACTAAGAGTCTTTGGGGTCTGAAAAGAATTGTTTTGTTACACAAAAAACGTAGGGGTCATTTAGTAACGTTTTTGTTTTCGCGGCTTCAAAAAAATCAAAAATAGAGACAATTTTTGTCTCTATTTTGTGGTAAACACTGAAACATAAAACATGTTTAGGAGTCATTTGTGCTTATCAAATTATGAGAATAAAAACAAAAAATATGTTTAGTAACTACTTCAAGATATATCTTAAAAATGTAATACCTCATACAAACCAATCAGTGTGAAGCAAAATCCAGTTCTCCGCTGCTACTTCCAAAATCTAGTTCATACTTCACCTTTTTTTTTTTTTAAACAAAAAACAGAAAAAAAAATTATTGAATAAATCAATCAAAGCTTACAAGCTTCAAAGAGAAAAGACAATGATCAATCCCTATTTACATCACAAGTTATGGCTTTAATCCTTCAAAACATTCACCCACCCATAGAATTGCAGCAAGGCTTCTTGAAAAATCACAAACCAGCAAACCCTTCCATTCAGCAAGCAACCTCGTTGATCTTGCACCCATAACAAACCAAAGACAAATAAACAATAATACATATTTAAGTGTACTGAGATAAACAAATAAACAAGACACACAGACCAAAAACGTTAGTTAAAGAAATTCCATATGTACTGAGATTGTTCTGAAGACCAAAAACACATAGAACACACACACACACAAACAGACAGACTCTTCAAAAAAATAATGACAAAGTATAGTTTTTTTTTTTTTTTTTGGGAAAATTAAAAAAAAATTTGATGGGGGTCTGTGATAGATCTGCACACAAAACACATACCCACACATACACGTAATCACACACACAAACACACTACCATAATCAGATCTGTAAATTGGTCTCTTGTATAAGCATACATATATAGTTCTATGTATATATATATACATAGAACTATATATGTATGCTTATACAAGAGATCAATTTACACATCTATGTATATATATACATAGATCTATTCTAATAGACTGGTTACACTTACCTTCACAGCGAGGGAGAAATCGATGGAGGAGATCTGGATCTTCGTTGGACAGCAGTCGATAAGACAAGAAGAATCCTCTTCTTCGTCGAAGCTCTTGCCTGGGTTCACGCCATCGCACAACAGAGGTAGAGGAAAAGAGAGAGCGACCTCTGGGTTGAGCGAGAAGGAAGGGGAGACTAAACGAACAAGGACCAAAAGATCCAATATTTATACTCCAACGATACATAATTGTATTTGTTGCCGAAGTAACACAGTCAAGGGGTTTAGGTTTTGTCGATGGGAATTAGGGGCCGCTCCTCTGCCTAATGGTACGGCGTCGTTTTGTCGTTCTTTTATGCTAATTTTAAAAAAGAGTGAGACAAGGAAGAGCGCTTAACAACCAATCGATTACCCCTTATTTGTGGGATCATAAGGTTCCTGACTGCATCTAAAACACCTTTCGAGACCAAATCTAGAAAGGCCAGCATAATAACCAACCACTGAATCCTAATAGGGACTTCAAAAACTCAAATTCTGAACTTCTATATGAGGAATAAGATCGGTACCACTATTAGACCACCTTAATCGACGTTGTTGTTCTTTTGCACAATGAACAGATTTGATCATTTTTTATACCTCTCAAAACTCTCTCCAAATTCACTTCTCCTGTAAATCTAAAGATGGGTATTTGTGCTACGAAGATCTTAAGGTTCAAGATGTCATGAAAACTGTCGAAAGAAAATCGTTTTATCTGTACAGTAAGTCCCAAATCACAAGAAACTTTGAGGCTTTCAGGGAGGCTTTAGAGGGCTTGAATTCGATAATCGGATACGCAATTAAAGCTAATAATAATCTCAAGATTTTAGAGCATTTGAGGAAGTTCGGTTGTGACGCTGTGTTGGTCCCTTCGTGCCGGGTTCAATCCCACTATGTATGTATATATTGTGTTTGTTTTTAATCTGCAATGAAGAGAAAACAAGGTTGAGTTTCTTTTTTTTAACATCATTTTCAATAAACTAATATGAACTGTTCACTTTTTTCTTTCAATAAATACACTATTTTTTTATAGAACATGTAAATGTTCCATATGATACTTAATAACTTCTGCAATTTGGTATATCATTATAACTTTAAGTGTGATCAGACAAGTGAGAGTTCAATTCTCTATTCATTTTTACTTCATACACAAACCTGTGGTAGAATAGATGTATCTTCAATGGAAATGAAAAAGACCTTGGAGGAGCTGGCTACCCAAGAAGGGGTCTTTGTTAATATTGATAGCAAACCCATGTACCAAGAAGGATGAAAACATGGCAAGAGTTTGGGCAAAACGAAAGCACTACAAAAGGGAAAGGTAAAATAAATTAGGGCAATTCATTTTAATTTATTTTTTACAATTTAAGTAATAACAAAAATAGAAGAAATTCAACCCCGTTGTTAAAAAAAGAAGGAAAAATTTCATCAACATCCCTTGTTATTAGGTCCAAATTCAATTTTTTTTTTTAAGTCCAAATTAAACTTCACTGTCACCCCCTATCAATGTTTGTTGGGCTACGGTGTTAACAACAATTTTTTTTTTAATAAAAATATCTCTGAATATTTTATAGGATAAATTTTATCTACACTTTTTATAAATAGATATAACTTCGACGACACCTCTTGTAAATAAACCTATCTTTAACAATTTTTCCTCTTGATTCTGAAATTTCAATGCACTCCCTTTTAATTCTATTATATTAACCTTTAGATTCATCAATTTAATATTTAATTTTATCAAATTAATGTCATTTATTTAATTTAAACTAAATTAACATTCCCTATCATCAAATCAATACAAATTGATATTTAATTTTATCAAATTAGTATTTAGTTATATTAATTTAATATTTTATTTCATCAAATTAATATTATTTCTTTAATTTAGCATTAAATTATTATTTATTTAAGTTATTATTTAATATATTAAATAGAATATTAAATTTCATTAATTTAACATTTAGTTATTTAATTTAACACCAAATAAACATTCAATTTCACTAAAGCAACATTTTAATTTATTCAATTAATATTAAATTTTATCAAATCAACATTAAATATAAATACCAAATTAATACTTAAATTTATCAAATTAAGACCAAATTTATTCAATTAATATTAAATTTTATAAAATAATATTTAAATTTTATATATGAATAATGATGTGTAAAGAGTGCTCATGTGACATTGTGGAGGACAAACGATAACAGATAATTAGAAATTGATGAGATTTTGATATTGACTTAAACAATTGTAAGTTTTATTATAAAAAATTATTTTTAACTATAAAAATTATAAAAACTCAATTATATAACTAAATGAGTGATAATATAATGACTAATATTGTAATAAAGTTATCATACAACGCTTTAAAATGATAAAAATTCATTGAGATAATTTATAAAAATCACGCTTACTGGTTGGGTAGGGCATATATAATGGGAAAAGAATTGTGGGCATTTTAGTCTATTTATTTAACACATAATTTTGGCATTTTCATAAAATATTTAGTCAAATCATTATTTTTTCTACTGGCACTGGCAAAAGTTACTGTTAAAGAGGTATTGTTGATTTGAACGTATAACTAGAAGGGTATGCAATAAAGTTTTAGAATCGGGAGGGGTGTCATTGAATTTAGACCTAACTATATGAAGTGTAAATGAAATTTTCTCTATATGTAAAGAGAAAAATGTTGAGGGCATTTTAGCCTACTAGTTGGTGCACACGTGCGTTGCACGTGAACTATTGACTTATGAGTTTTTATTTTATTTTAATTTTTACAATGATGTGTTGCATAACCAATTTATTCTTGAAAGGCCATACATTAAAACATAAAAATTAAGCTACAGTGTAATAGGAAAATTCATAAACTTAAGCCAGAGTAAATTTAAAAAAAAAAAAAACTAATACTTATCCATAATCGATTTAATGTGACCATAATGCACATTAACTTTTAACATATTTTCTTAATTGTTACAGTAGTTTTTCATCCATTTTGAAAATTTTAATTTAATCCATCCAAAATGGGAAAAAAATTAACTGTTTTTGATTTTTGTCTGTTAATGATTTTTAGCTTATCCATGCTGTGCTCTTAACACAACCACTACGGCCATAACTATTCCCAGAACACCCTCCCAATATTATGATAAAATTAAAAAGCAGAAATGTAAACATTCCTATTGTGGTCCTCTTTCTAATCCAATATAGTTTAGTGTAGTTCAATGTATCATCCATAAAGCCAAAGAGTTACAAATGTATCTTACTGTGGTTCCGATGGGGTCTAAATGCTTCACAACAACCTCGTGGACAAACAAGAAAACTGTAGTTTAATAGTTTGTAATAGTAACGTCTTTGACATTCCACTATACCCACCAAAACAAAACTACTTTAATAATAAAATTCAATAGTATTAAAATGTATCGAAAACAAAAAAAAATAAAAATTAATGTTTGCATTGGGATGCAAATTTAAGCATTCCTTTATCCTACACCTTTTTGCATTTCTCCACCTTTAATATTATGCACGCAGGCTGATTTGGTAAATAAGAACAACAATGGCAAATGATAATTGACAATGAAATGATGGCCATTTGTAAAATCCTAAATCTAGAGTCATTTTTTGTGATGGCTCCTATTTAATTTGGCCTTAATGAATTCAAACACTTCCTAAAACTATATTGAGCAGTTAATTTCCAGAATACTGCTATGTCTAATAAAAGTAATCTATCGAACTTAAGATAATCAACCAACAATCTAATAACCACACTGCAAGTCAAATGAACTTAGCTGATCATCCCATTGTTATTGATACCCAATTAATACGAACTAGATGTATCCATATGTACATAAATTGAATAAATTGCTCTACATGTTTGTAAACAAAAACTTACCAAAAAAAAGTTTAGCCATGAGCCTCTATGACCATGCCATGAAATCTTGCCTTTACACCTCCTTCAATAGTAAAGTAAAAAACTTTTTTTACTGCTAGTCTATACTCCGGGGCAAGACAAATTCCAAGGCACCAAAAACACCACCACATTGCGAAGACCGAAGGAAAACCATCCAATTTATGAACAGAGAGCTTCAATAGTAGCTGAGAAAGTTTCTAAGACATAGATCTGTATATATATCTTATACAAGAGACCAATTTACAGATCTATTTATATATATATATATATATATATATATTCTAATAGACTGGTTACACTTACCTTCACAGCGAGGGAGAAATTGATGGAGGAGATCTGGATCTTCGTTGGGCAGCAGTTGATAAGACAAGAAGAAGCCTCTTCTTCGTCGAAGCTCTTGACTGGGTTCACGCCATCGCACAACAGAGGTAGAGGAAAAGAGAGAGAGACGTCTGGGTTGAGAGAGAAGGAAGGGAGACTTAACGTAAAAGGACCAAAAGATCCAATATTTATACTCCAACGAAAAATAATTATACTTGTTGCCGAAGTAACGCCATCGGTTTTGTCGAAAAGTAGTTGTATTTGTTGCCGAAGTAACACAGTCAAGGGGTTATAGGTTTTGTCGATGGGAATTTGGGGTCCGCTCCTCTGCTTAATGGTACGCGTCGTTTTATTGTTCTTTTAAGCTAATTTAAAAAAAGAATGCGAGGTCAACTTGTTAGGGGGGTTTATAAGGTTTATGATCGCATCTAGAACGTCTTTCAAAAGTAGATTTAGATAGACTAGCATAACGGTCAATCATTAAATTCTAATAAAAATTTCAAAACTCGAATTCTAAACTTTTAAGTGAGGAATAAGACCGTTACCCTCACTAGACCACCCTAATCGATGTTGTTCTTTTGCACAGTGAACAGATTTGCTCATTTTTTATATCCTTCAAAATTCTTTGCAAATTCACTTCTCCTGCAAATCTAAAGATGGGTATTTGTGCTGTGAAGGTCTTAAGGTTCAAGATCTCAAGAAAGTCATCGAAAGAAGATCGTTTTATCTGTACAGTAAATTCCAAATCATAAGAAACTTTGAGGCTTTCA